AAAATACTTTGACTGGAGAATTTGGTGTTCTTTGATACCCATTGTTGGAGGAATTCTACTTACTTCAGTTACAGAGCTTAGTTTCAATATGTTTGGATTTTGTGCGGCTTATTTGGTTGTCTCGCTACTTCCACAAAGACCATCCTTGCAGAATCGCTTTTGCATGGATACAAGTTTGACAGGTAATATTTTTCTGCCTTTAGATTGTCATCTTTACCTTCTTGAAGTTTTTGTCACTTATGCTTACTTTGTTTTTGTAGTTTTCATAAGTTATTATATGCGTGATGTCTTGTGCACAAATATGAAATATGTTGTTTAAACTTCTTGATTCAGTGTTATTACACTCTCACTATCATAAGATGTTCACGAGCCTATAAGTTGAAGATACAAACTTGTTATAGGTTCTATACCAATCCCTTCGATATCAATTATCAGTGGCAGCTCTAATTGATACGATATCTTGTTGACTACTGCATTTTCTCATTTTATTGGACTATTAAGTAATTAAATTTTCAAATGAGAAGAATCTTGGTTGATTTATCAGAATGTATGACACAAAATGCTTCCTTGTAATTTGATGAAAGCAGTTCATATTATATGTGTGATCCATGTGGTTCTTACAAGGCAATTCAGCGTGATTGAGCATTTAGAAATGTCTTGAGTATAGAAAACCATGTTTACGGTGATGTTCCCTTAGACCATCTCCAACCATTGGGTTAAAACCTAAAAATTAAGTTTTAAACCCACCCAAATCATCACCAACCATTGGGCCTAAATTTTGGCCAGATTTAACCCAAAAGACCGGCTTGGGATAAAAATTTGTCCCACCAGTGTGCGTAGATGCACCTAGCCTTTCTCCCACCGCAACGCACTGACGCGCCTCACGCTTTGCACTTGGCAAAGCTGCAGTGGGTGGGATCCACCATTGACAGCTTTGTCAGCCACCAATTTCGGAGCCCAAACAGCTAGTTGGCCATCAACGGCCCACGTGATTGGACCATTGGTTGATCTAGATTCAAACTTTTTTTTTAATTTTAGTTTTCAAATAGATTAAATCCAACGGCTAAAACAATTCATTCAAAAACTTTATAAATACCTATATTTGTTCAAACATCCACACAAAATTCACTTCCCTTGTACGATTCTTCCCTTTTTTTTCTTTATGTCTACTTCCAAAACTATTTATAAAAAAAAATAAACATATTCAATAAGAAAGAGTAACACACAAACGCACTTAATTTTATTACAACAAAAAGACCAACACACTTAGTTTTATTACAAAGAAAGACTTAACACACTATCCCACTTCATTTTAAGTTGCAAGGAAAGACAAATACATTAGCACACTTCATTTTATTAAGGAAAGACCATCATGACCGTGCTCCTAGTCGGTACCATATATGCTCAACCAAATCTTTTTGGAGTGTGTTATGGCCTTCGAGAGCTTGAATCCAATTCAGACGATTCATGTAATCATTAAGTGTTAGCCTATCATGTTGGGTCTCATATGTGTTTTCATCTAGATATTCAATGTCTATCACTATTGCTCTCTCAGATATGGGTTGCATCTAGATATTTAATGTCTTTTGATATTGCTGTCGCAGATGTTGGTTGGTCACCATCCACATCTTTATTAGAATCTTCTTCAATTTCTTTGTACTCAACAATAATATTGTGCAAAATTATGTACGTCGTCATGATTAAATGTAGGTCTTTATGTTCCACAATTGTGCAGACCCTCTAATAATGGCCGATCAAGCTTGTAGGATCCCGAATTGCCATCCACATCTATCCTATACGACTCTTCTTTCTGCTAAAACAATGTCTTCTTTGTACTATTGGATGAGAATAACTTTTCACAAATATAGACGAACTAGGATAAAAACCATCAGTTAAGTAGTAACCTAGCTCATGTCTATTACTATTTATGTGTTTCATATTGTTTAGAAAAGCTTTTCATATGTGTTCCATGACTTTACTGCACGACTCTTGTTTCATGTGTTTTATATGTTTGAAGTGGTTTTCCATGTTGTTCCATGACTATTATGTTTCATGGGGTAGGTTTAGTGATTTTTCACTATTTATCGGAATCTAAATTTCTATAGGTTAAAATTTTCATAAAAATAAATTAGGATAATCTACATAAATTTTATTTTTAAAAAAGGTACCAAAAAAAAAAAAAAAATAGCCACAATTCATTTATATTGGGCTAAATTTTTAAGCCAACACCTTGGAGGAGAAAATTTGTTTCTGGATTAGAACATAAATTTCTGGGCTACAAATTTAGGTTTTAGCCCCAACCATTATAGTTGGTCTTAATGATGTAAAACTGAGAAGTCTTGGAATTTTCTATATGCTTATAGTCTTAAACTGTTTGGATTGCCTTGTCATCCTTGTGAGGAACATGGTGGGATTTTGTTATTTTGTTTGTACCTTGTAAGAATTTAGTGTATTAATATCAGCCATTTCTTTTCCTTCCATATTTTGAAATCCTCAACCTTGGTATCTTTTTGTTATACTGATCTTCCTAACATTGACACAGAACCGAGTGCAATGACATTCTAGGATTCATGTAGCCGACCCCACTTAGTGGGAAAGGCTTTGTTGTTGTTTGTTGATCTTCCTGACATTAATGTCTTCATTTTAGCTGTGTTTGCTTGTTTTTTCACCCAAGCATGCCTTCTGTTTGAAATAGTTCTACTTTTATGTGCTCTCATTATTTCATAGCTTCATGATTCGTGCTGATATTTTGTTATTGGCTTTCTTGGGTATACAATGTAGCATAAACACGGTGTACTACATGGCACCTTTTGCGACCATGATCTTGGCAGTACCTGCAATGCTACTTGAAGGTAATGGAGTTCTTGAATGGCTTCACACCCATCAGACTCTTGTTCCATCCCTCATCATCATTTTCAGCTCCTGGGGTAATGGCATTTTGTCTCAACTTCTCCATTTTTTATGTAATCCATTCTACGACTGCCGTGACATTCAACGTTGCTGGAAACCTCAAGGTAATTATTAAGCGTAATCACTAACCTTGTAGTACTGTTATGCTTTATAAAGAGTTAATGATGCATTGCTAAATTATTCGGCACAAGTACTGTTAGGCCTTATCGGTCAATCTAGTCATAACCCTTTTGGCCAAGCAAATATCTTGTCAATGATCACGTTCTGATATTGGATTTTTGTTCAGGTTGCGGTTGCCGTCCTTGTTTCATGGATGATATTCAAAAACCCGATTCCAGCTTTGAATGCCGTTGGTTGTGGAATAACGCTTTTGGGATGTACATTCTACGGGTATGTGAGGCACCTGATCTCCCAACAGCTGCCTGGAACTCCTCGAACGCCACGCACTCCACGGGGTCGTATGGAGCTGCTTCCCCTTGTAAATGATAAATTAGATGACAAGGTCTAGTGGTTCAGGCCGCATGAATGAGATTCCCGTGACCGGGAAAATGATTTATAGGAAACATCATTGCATTAAAAACATACTATTCACGTCTTTTCTATGTAATTTGACACGAAACTATGATGATCTTGTTTTTAATATATTGTTTTTTATTCCCCTTGCGTAACTACGATGATCTTGTTCGGGCTCTTGTTGCAATTTTGACCTTCATGGCCCAGGTGCTTCTTTCGTTGGGAAATTGGGCCCAGAATGCATTTACTGTACTAATATCGTTGTATTTTTTTTATTTTTTTTAACTTTTTGAACAAACGCACCTCGTGGAAGCACAGAAGGTCAACCAAACGCACCACTGCAAAAACCACGTTGGAACCACTTGTAAGTGCAAGGTCGCCTGTGGTTGCAGTAATATTTTGCCCATGAAGACCTCGTTGCCAAGAGTAGGCCAACCACGCGACGTTACTTGTGCTGCCAAATAGCAAGCATGCATACATGGCACGGTAGCACAAAAGGTGTTTAGGGTGGAGTTTTGCAAATGCACTCGCCCGGTATCACCTGGCGATAATCGCAACCTGGTTCGTTTCGCCCTCCGCACGTTCCACTCCAACTGGTTTGTTGTAATCACCTGCGTTGGTGGCGATCATCGACGTAAGGCCCACCATGCTTATTAGCATGCTGATAGCCGTTGTTTTGGCTCCCATTAGCCGCCCGGCAATGTTGGCTTGCGCGGGCAAGAGAGTCGGCAGGAGAAGCAAATGCAAATTTTCGCGGACATGTTGACACTGTAGCAGTCAATACTCCATGAGAGTCACTACCGGGGTACTGTTCACCAACTCGACGTACGCTCCACGAAATCCTTCCGTGCGCATGAAAACGGAGTCCACTAAGTTTCAAACATTGCGAAATGAAGCTTCCTGGGAGTTGAAAATGATCTATAGTAAGCATCAGTGCACAAAAAACTTGCTTTTCACTTGTTTTCTATGTAATATAATCCTGCTTCAGATTACTTTAAAATTTTAATGTATGGTTTTTGACTGCCCTTTGCCAAACTATGATTTTGTGGCATTAATTTGTAGCCTTCTACGAGGGTTTTGCAATTAGACCTCATGGCCCAAGCTGGTTTTGCCTTGATAAATTGGGGGCCCAAAATGCAACTATTAATGTTATGGTTGCAGCATACAAAACTATAGAGAATGAAATGATGTCCGCACTTTTTTTTGTCGCTCTACACTTTTTCCTTTATTTTGGCCTTTTTGAATAACTTAAGAAGAATCAAGAGCCACACATAAACAGTTAAAAAGAAAATAAGAATGCGAAAATCATTTTTCAAAACCATATGACTTCCGAGTTGTGTTCAACCAACACCAAATCATGCTTTTGCCCCCACAAGTGAAAATCAACACTTTCAGAGGCAAAATGAGACTTGACATTAGTCTCAAGGGAAATAATTAAGCCTTAATAAATCTGTCCAAACTATCAACCACCATGTTCCTTTCTCTATAAATATGATTTAAATCACATTGATCAAATCGAGAAATCAAGTGATGACAGCCATATAAAAACTGTCAGCCAAACATTAATAGACATTGGATCAAGTTGAAATCTAAAGTAAAAAGCTTTTAATAGAGATTGAATGCAAATGCACTTGATAAAGTCTCAGTACATCAACTCCTCTTACCCTAACTTCACCTACTTAATGGTTAATACAGAAAGAAAGATGATCTAGTGAGTAAATAGTTAGATGGTAAAATTACAAAGTTAATCTATAATCTTAGTCACTTATTAGACACTAATCCTTAATCCTTTCTCATTAGAGGTGAAGGAGAACACACTTAAGCCAAGAGCCAGAAATCCTTCTGCCATCTGGTGTTGATAAGGTAGCCACTCACACCTCTGCTTTGCTTCCTCACTCCAATTGTCAAACACTCTGCATTGTTTATGCAATGCTCCACAAAATCCTCGGTGGAGCTGGTTCCAAATAAGCTGCATAATTAAATCACAATAAACATCATTTAGCAAGCTATATAACTCGGCGATATCAAACAATGGTTTAGTTTGGTGCGGTTCGGTTTCACCCACGCCTTCAATAAAAACTTAGTTTGAGTAAAACCAATCCAAATCCTAGCAAGTGCTTTTGCAAGAAGGGATTAGTGGAATAGGACCCACCAGCTGAAGAGGGGAGAGGGCTTCTTCTGACCAAGCACTAGCACTGAAACCTCAAGCTTCTTAACCTGGCTGTTCACTGTTGCCACTCTTGGTCCTTGGATCACAAGAGCTTCCACTTCCACCTGAACATTTTTTTTTTCCCAAAAAATAATTAAACAAATAATAATAATATAAACACATGACTAAATAAATGTTAAGGGACAGAACAGGAATTATGTCCCCTCTCTCTTTTTCTGGGAAAAAATAGGCAAAAGCAACTGAAAAGCCAATCACTCTTCCTTCTCGCACTGAAAAGAAAGAGAGTGACCCGTCACTGGTGAAAATTATTACCCTTCTCCCTCTAAAGAAGAGAAAAGACAAAAAAGAAACAGTCAAAGATTAAAAAAACAAACAAGCAAAGAAAAGGAGGGAAAAGAATTACAAGGTTGGGGACCAGAAAATTGGGATCTATCAAACACAATGAAGACACTCTCAGCCTTTTCTAGTAGGATCTATCAAACAGAGCAAACGATTAAGGAAAGACAGGCCATTTATCTAAAGGGATCCCCGTTTTTGGGTAATTATGAGGACTAGTTGTAGAGTTTAATTCTTGTCAAACTTCAACGATCTGAACCGTTTATTTTGTAAGTGTCGATTCAAAAATTAGCTGCCCATCTAAACTAGGAGAAGGAAGGAAGAGTGAAATGTACCTCAGGCTTGCAAGCCTTGCATAGGGAGCCAAGGGAGTTGGCCAGGGAAGGGGAGGAGGTAGAGGAAGAGTCATGGGAAGAAGGGATGATGTGGAGGAGAGTGAGCAAATCACCCTTGTTGGCAACATGACTGAGGGCCCACATCATGGCATGCTTGGAATGTGACGAGTCATCCACCACCACCATCACTCTCTTCCTCATTCCGAATCCTCCACCACCACCACCATTGTTGTTGCCATACATGTTTTGAAGCCCTTCCATTTGCTGAAAGCTTCCTCCTTTCCCCTCAGACAGCCCAACTCCGCCACTGAAACCACCGCAAGACTTGTTATTTCCAACATCACCCCACATCATTGATTTTGATTTCCACGCCTCCCTTCCACTCAATTGCCTCAAAAATGCACTTGGTTTGGGCATTTTCTCTCACCCCTTTTGCCTAAATATGCCTAAAACTAAGTAACTGCGTAGAGAGAGTATGTGAGCTTTGTGGGGTTCGGTTGAGGGCTTCTTGGCTATTATAATGAGAAAATAAGAGGTGAGGAGAGAGAGTGTGATGAGAGAGTGGGGAATGGGGTAAAATCTGACGACGCAAAGACATGATTTTTAAGTCTGGGCTATATTTGACACTCAATTTTACTTTTCACATGTTTCTTTTAACTTACCATCGTCGAATTAAATGAATTGAATAGAATGAACTTTAATGAAAAATTCTCGGTATTGTTTATTTTAACGAAAAATCATATTTTTACACTAAAAAAATTAATCATGATACTGTTCACTTTACCTTTTATTTTATCTTTATCGTTAAAACTCAAAATTTTCAAACTATTTTTATTAATTTTCCTTTGAATAAAATCAATAGACAAAAATTAATAAGAGTGGTGAACGGTAAAAAAAAGTGTGAAAAGTAAAAAGAATATTTGTATCCAAGAACGAATGGAAATAGAGACCAAGGTGATCCCAGTATTACCTGAGTATGGAAAATATACATGTAACGGTTTTTTGAAAATCTTTCGAATGTTTAGTATGAATCTCTTATGTGCCTATCATGTTTAATGTAATACATCTTCAACATATCTCGATATATTGCATTGATAGAACACAATCAGCTTTTTTTTTATATTATTCATTAAATTACTTCGGCATACAATAATTAGTGAATAAACTGAATTTTTTTTTCACACTTTATGGTCTATTCTTATGTAAAAAATTTATATTTAACAGTAAGGTCCCAAGATTCAAATCTAAATATCTGTTCCCATTTTTTATCTTGTGCAGGATAAAGTGTCACGAGGAGGACTCGTTGGGGGTGATGACTTGACTCTGCATGGAGACGTAAAACAATCACCAAAGTTCTGTTTTCTTTTAGATATTTTGATGATGAAAGGCAGGATCTTTTGTACGACCTCTTAGAGATAAAATAATAATTCAGATTCTCCTCCCTATTTTTCTAATCTCTCATCATGATCTGTGTCTATGCTATAGGATGAAAGATGGGGAATGTAGCGGAGAGAAATTTGAACTTAGGTCTATATGCCTATGGGCTGTATCGAATTTGGCTAATTGCATGCATGCAAATGAAAGAGAGAAACTTAGTTGAAACATAGAGTATAACATTCCCTTAGCCTCTTTGGGTTCTGCTTGAAAGTAATGGATAATTATGGTTTGCTATTAATTACCTTCTTTTTTTAAATAAAAAAAAATTAATGAAAAAATTTGAAAACTTTGAGTTTTAATGATAAGGATAAAATAAAGGGTAAAATGAATAGTACCAGGTTTGATTTTTTAGTATAAAAATGTGGTTTTTCGTTAAAGTGAACAGTACCGTAGACTTTTTGTTAAAACTCCAAAAAAAAAAATCTATCCCTTGCTTAGATGTGGCAAAAGAGAAACGCAATAGGGTATGCACTGAAATGCGCTTAAGATTTTTTTCTCTTGTATTTGAGAGATACTCTATTGCAGCCAATACATAATTCAAGTGATATCCTGGCTCCAGTCAATTATTGACATGTGTTTACAAAAGCTTATCGATCATCTAATAGATATTTGTCATGTAACGTCTCTAATTATATGAAAGTAGATTTCTCTACTTTAGATGAGGAGTAGATTTCGTTTGGTAGTATTTTAAATATACTAACAGCAGATCCCTCATCATTTTTATAATTTATATGTCAGTTCATGCTCAAGTTGCATACGATATACACTGGTGGTCCAACTTAAAGATAAACTTGTCCAGACCCTTCAATTGTTCTTGCAGCAACATTTATATGCACCATTTTCTTGTGTTTGCTCTTTGTGTGGTCTTTCGTAGGTCTCGGCCTTCCTGGGTGATGTCTAAACAGTCTTCATATTTGGAATAGGTGGGTGTGACCTCGTAACTATTTTAATAAAAAGCAAGTAAATGTAACGAGTGGTTCACTGGACATATATAAGTTGTTATAACATAACCAATAAAACGAAAGTGTGTAATGTCAAGGACACAATATCTTTTAAAAATAATGACTTATATGGAATAGGGTCATAATCACTATGGCAACCCATTCAATAAAACAATGGCAATCCATTCAATAAAACAATGTCAATGATATTGTACATACTAGTAGATCGGTATATTACATGACGATGAATCCGTTCTATTAACGTTACTCTCCATTTTGAATGACTACATTGTACCACGGTAAGGCCAAACCATACAAGTAGTTTCTACTTATATTAGAAAAATGGGATAATATGTGGTCTCCCAAAATATTGTCTCCAGCAATTTTCAACGAAAATACTTGATTTCTTACATTACATACAAGAGTTTTCCTTTTGTCTTTATAAACCTTAATTAACAAAGACTCTTCTTGTATGATTTATATTTTTAATTCATGAAGTAATTTTTCTTCTTTGTTTGGGTATGAAATTCATGAAGTAAATTTGGGTGGTCAAATTGTTGGATAATTTTTTTTAGTACAATGATATATTTTACACTAAGGAGGAGGAAGGAGTTTGGCTGAGCCTCACAATGGGTAACTTAATTTGGTATCAAATTCATCATCTACAAAATTTGCACATGAGACCTCTTACTTACCAGTGAAAAGAAATACAACTAAATCATAGTACTAAGTGGCATTGGATAAATTGTTTATTTAAAATGACAATTATGTTTGTGAAGAATTATACAGTCAAGAGTTGATTTATGATTTGTCAAAAAAGAGAAATAGACTGCTAAATCCAAAATATTAATATTATTATTTGTGGATTTTTGAAATCTAACAAAATAGCATGACCAATAATCTCTTTTGCCCAATATTCCATTATCTGATGATATTTACAAATAAGGGAGCCTAAATTTTTATTTTGTTTTGTTCAACAAATTTTCTACATGATATTCATAAAAAAATTCTAACAAAGTAAAGACCGAGTGATATTAAATTAAAAAAATATATTAAATTAATTAGCTATTAGGTTTTGAATGATAGAAATAAGTGAGAAATTCTCTTTCCAACTCTGACTCTCTCATTCCAGTTATTGTTTTTCTCTCTATTACTTTGAAGGTAGCTGCTTCATTATTTTTCTTCTCAATATTAACAGAAATTTTGAGGTTCGAACATAAACAAATTAAAAAATTCATGAAAAGGGTCAATTATTCATCCCACAATTGTATAGTCCATATCTACATATTGATAAAATGAAGAGTGATTGTGACATCCCACATCGCTCAGGAGAGTGATCCTTATATGTATATTCCCATCTCTACCTAGCACGAGACCTTTTGGGAGCTCACTGGCTTCGGGTTCCGTAGGAACTCCGAAGTTAAGCGAGAAGGGGGCTAGAGCAATCCCATGATGGGTGACCTACTAGGAAGTTGCTCGTGAGTTCCCAAAAACAAAAACCGTGAGGGAATGGTAAGCCCAAAGCGGACAATATCGTGCTACGGTGGTGGAGTGGGCCCGGGAAGTGATCCGCCCCGGGTGGGGATGTGACAATTTGGTATCAGAGCCTAACCCTGGGCACGTGTGTGCCGACGAGGACATCGGGCCCCTAAGGGGGGTGGATTGTGACATCCCACATCGCCCAAGGGAGTGATCCTTATATGTATATTTCCATCTCTACCTAGCACGAGGCTTTTTGGGAGCTCATTGGCTTCGGGTTCCATGGGAACTCCGAAGTAAAGCGAGTAGTGTGCGAGAGCATTCCCAATATGGGTGACCCATCGGGAAGTTCTCGTGTGAGTTCCCAAAAACAAAACCGTGAGGGCGTGGTTGGGGCCCAAAGTGGACAATATCGTGCTACGGTGGAGTCGGGCTCAGGAAGTGATCTGCCCCGGTTCGGGATGTGACAGTGATGATATTCACACACTCCTTTTAAATTTTGGTCATCAAATCAAATTAATTGAAAATAATCAAAGAGCAGAAATTAACAAATAATAGATAAAAAGTAAAAATAGGTGTAAGAATAGCATCACGCTAAACTGAATTGGAAGTGTTATATGCATTTAAGTTCAATTTCTGCCCCTTCTCACATCTTTCACTTTCTGCACTGGTTCGTTGAAATGGGAGGATTAAATTTATCTAACTCTGTCACATAAGCACCCCATTGAATGTGCTTAGATGAAAATAAATCTGCCACATTAATTATTGCATGGTAGGAAGCACCCTAATTGCCATATTTGCAAATTAAGTTATGCATATAGGGAATTGACTTTTCTATCTGTGTTCATGGATCATCATCACCCATTCACCCTAACCCAGCATATGGTGGTAGATCAATTACACTCAACTTAGCAAAACGTTTATAACTCAGTTAGTTAAAAAGATTTACCTTTGCACGTAAAGTTTAAGATTTGGTTCTCTCTTTTTACCATCGGTTGTATAACGAAATAATACAACATAACTTTACACAACTAGGAACTGGTTAGGCCTTAATCTTAATGTTTACTTGGTCATGGACATTGTCACTTGTGACCCACACACTATTGAGGCTGTTAAAAGGGGGTGAAAAAGTAGAGTTAAAACCATTTTTAAAAGAGATGTCAAAAATTCCACACAGACATATAACAATAATAAATAATGTATTATTTACTCTAACCTGAGATGTCAAAATTGACATAGAAAATAGAGCTAAGCTAACATAGACAAGGAAATGTCAAAATTGACGATGGCTCAAATAAGGTTTTTGCTCCAAAGGTATTTCACTTGTTTTACCTTAAATGTTAGCATATTTAAATATTATTTTATTATTTTTATTTAAAAAAAAAACATAAACAAAGCAATAGCCGTATTAATTTCATCCATCTCACAAAGATACAAATATATATGTCACCGGACTTGAAGTACAAGTAAACCGAAGCCTACATGATTTTACAAACTTAGTCCATTAAAATCCTAATTGAATTCTCCTACTCTAACACCTACCTAGAGAAATCTTAATTCTAAACCCCTTGTCATCAACGATCAAATTAGTGATACGTGCACGTGTGATTTCTGAACGATTTTTGTTTAACAACTGGTTATAGCAACAAACTTTTCCTAAATTCTCAAGTACGGAATCCAAACAATCTCATTTATAATAATAAAAAAAAAATGTCCGCATAAGCAACCAGTCTTAGCAAACAATAAATTTGTGACCTCACTTGTGACCAAGACATTATTGGGAGCGTATGGTAGAAACTAGAGAGTTGCCCGGTGGCTTTATGAAACACAAGTGAAGAAGTAATGGTTACTTGTTGTTTGGTTCAGGTTCAGGTTCGGTCGTCACTCGAGTCATCAGAGTTTGGCACATCCACACAGTGACTCGCTTGACATCAGAGTGAGACAGCCTATAATTATTATAATTAAATAATTTAGTTCAAGTGATTAAATAAGAGATTTAAGGGATATGTCAGAATTTGGGACCCTCGTGAATTGGGTTTTTTGGGGTTCATCGAGTCAGAAGGCTGGTCCCTTTCAAATAATTGCTCCCGGGCAAATCGCTGACCCTTGAATCACCTCCCTTGAAGTTACCATTATAACCTTCCTCACTTCTTCATAGGATTTTTAATAGTACTTGGGGGTATTTGATATTATGAATTTTTTAACCATTAAATCTTACTAAAGAAAATATAAATACTAAAATTTAACAGTTAAATATAAATTAAAATTGGTGGTTTTTTTATTTAAAATTAATGAGAAGGTTTTAGGTTCAAAACACTATGTGTGCTTATTTACATTCTAATTTTTATAAATTTATTTTCATAACAGTATATATTTATAAAACAGGAAGTGTTATTGGCATTCCAAAAATCTCATTTTACACTCTTCACAATTGTATTTTTCTTTCTAAATATAGAAAGTTTGGAGTGTAGAATGAGAATTTTGGAATGCCAATAACAATTCCCTATAAAATTTGGCTAAATGATCAAGAACTTTAATTAGAAGCACTGATTTTTGTTGTTTAAAATTAACGAGAGGTCATAAGTTCGAAATGCTATGTACATGTTTATTTTTTTCAATTTTTACGAATTTTTGTTTGGTTGTTAATTTATTACTAGCTAGTAACGCATGGACTAAATTTTTAGACCAAATTTGCAAATAATATTACGTGTCATCAAAATGTTTAATTTAGTATTCATTCATTACTTAAAGACTTGAAAACATTATTAGTTTTTTAGTCTTATATTGACAAGGTTAGTAAATAAGAAAAAATACCTCACGATTTATACAAAAACACTTTAAAAGTTCAGATGGAAAACAAAACTCATAATTATCTACTTGTAAGCTCGAAGTTTTTGGGTTTCCTTCTCTCGATACAAAATAAATAAGTTATTCTATATTTCTAAATTATTGAGTTTGAAATATTTTTCTAAATATAATTTTATCGATATTTTATGTGTGAAAATAAATAATTTTTTTATATGAAATGAGGATACATTTTTTGACATCACTCCGGACCTCAAAAATCTTTGAACCGACCCAGCTCGTGACTGTCAAACTAGTTCAAATCTAGTGATACAAATAACATCTAGTATACATGGAACCTACCTAAGTCCTCACTAGAGACTATCAAACAATGTCATACATATAATTTAACTAAGAGTTTTGTTTACTGTACATGAATGGTCATGAGACTTTGAGGGCAGTCTTGAGAAACAAATGGTCATGAGGACTCACATGGGAACTTGGGCTGCATGGTCAATAAGAAACGTTAACAAGTAAAACTGTAAAAAGAGCCAGAAACCCTAAATAATAAAAAAGTAAAAGAAACAGCCAAGTCGTTCGTTCCAGTGTCTTGGACGGAGTCTCTCAAAACTAGTAGAATACAGACGAATTAGCATTCAGCATCGGCCTCCTTGCATCTCGTGAAAATGTCCCTGTAAAATAGTATCACATAACGTAAAATCTAACATTCACGTTTGCTGCAAAAGCATCTCTCTGTACCGTACGTGTTTCTAAACCCTAGCTTGCTGTTGCTGCAGTTCATTTGTTTATGTTGGGTTTCATTTATGTACAATTGTGAGTTTGGATTCGAGTTTCCTTAATTCTGTTAGTCTCTCATTTATAGATAAGAGCTTTACTTTGAATTTAGGCTTAGTAAAAAATTCAATTTTGTTGTCATTTAATTCATTGCTACTAAAATCGATATAGAAAAGTAACGATGAAGGTGGAAAAAATCACTCGTTTAATCTGTACCATAATCAAGGTTCTAAAAGACGCTAGTCGGACAGTAGATTTGAGCCTAGCCGCCTAGGCGAATTTAAGTTAATTTATTATATATCGTTTAAAGATGTATGCTTATATTTAAAACTCATAATTCCATTAGAATGTATAAATTGAAAAATAGAAAGACATAGATTATAAAGTATTAGACTATAACGTAAAATGAAAATTATCTATTTTCTATTTAAGTGAGATTCATCATCTAGGTGGGTGCTTAGATGAGTCTAGACAAGCTAGGCAATTCTAGAATCTTTTTCTTAATTTTCAAATTAATTGGGATAATAGTCAACAGCCTAGCACCTAGGCGAGGTCTAAGCAGCGCAAGACGGAAATTTTTAAACCAGTGAACATGACTATTCGTTCAATGACACTTTGATTTCTTCATGTTCGAAGATGCGGAAATTCGAGTCGTCCTCCCCACTAATACAAAACTAAAGTAAAACTAAAATAAAAATTCGAGACTGCTGTCCTTCAGGGAATCATGAAAAGCGACTTAGCTGGATTTACCATCAGAATACATCAATAAATAGGGGTTGAAAAGGGTAGTCACTATGTTAATTGAATCGTTTACCTCAATGTTCATCCATCATTGTTTGGCCAAATAACTACCTATCCTATTGAATAAAATTGAAAGCTTTCCTGCGTTGCGCGAGAGTTGCTGGTTCCCCGTTCCCCCATCTTTGAGTGTTGCACCTGCTGTGCTTCATTGAGATTTTTCAACAGAATTAAAGGGAGGATGACACAATTTGGTTTACCTATACATTAATATGCTTAGTTGAAAAAAAAAATGCCTTCAATGTCAAGAGTGACGCTTATCAATCAATAGGCCAAACTAACTTGAGAAATCCGCCTCCATGGACATTTACGACATGTTTAACGTCAAACTAACTTGCCTATAAACAAAAATAAATGTGAAAGATTCCAAGTTTGATGCTTCGAGATGATGAGTCTACTTAACTGTAGCCACGAACAGGATGAAATTCCCCATAGCCTCTCAAGGCTCGAAAGGGTGAATATCCGTAGCTTGTCACCAGTTGTCTCCTTTTTTCTTAAAAGAAAACGTGAAACTAACTTGCTAGCATGACCACATTTTTTGTTTCAAGTTTTGAGTACTAGAAATAAGATATAAAGTGCTATTTGACCTCTGATAAAAAAAATTGGGTATTCCTTTAAACATCTTTGCACCAAATGCTATCAAAGTTGAAATACAATCACTAAAATGCTTTACAATGGGTTAACTGAGAAGGAAATCATATTCCAAGGCAAAGGAGAATAATTACCTCTCCTGTGAAGGCAATGCTGGCTGACGTCGAAACAGGCTTAAAATAAATAGCAGTAGTCACTAAAATTTTACTCTACTGAATGCCAGCCTTATTGAGCTGATGACTCCGTCTTGATTGAAACGGTAACTCACTATGTTAGTTTTACTTAATCTAAAGTTTCTATCTGATTAGCGACATTGCGTCCCAGTCAGTATGAAGAGGAGGTTTTCCCGTATGAGCCATACTGATCCAGCAACGATATATGTTCAGGAGATAACATCAGTGCACCCCTACTTAAGTAGTGCGGAGCAACCCTCCTGCGTTAGAAAATCATGTGGTTATGTTAAACTCCTGCACGGAAATTGACAATCATTGTTTTGAAAGGCTGCAACGAAGCCAATTTAACATTGAGAGTACATACCTCCTACTTCTGGTGGTCTTCTCAGCTCCTTCTGATAACCGAGAAGCTTCTGATCTTGAAATGTGGCGCAGAGAAGAAAGATACTCATGCTGTGCACCACCTCTCAAGTTGGAGTACGTTCTTGAAGGTACAATTGACCGAATTACATCAAATACACGTGATTGGATTTCACTGCAGTGCAGAGATGAGTTAAAAGACAAATATTTGCAATCATTGCAATGAATGCACGCCCGTGTTACAGAAAAAATGGTCAGGAAACGTGAACATAGGTAAATTGAACAAATAAAAAGTTGAACCTATGAATTTAAAATTCATCCAAGAGGTGACAATTACAAGCATTTCAAGACAGCATTATGAATTTAAACAGTTTTCAGACATTTTTACACACCAAGGAAGTTGAGCCAAATACCTTGTCGCATTTGGCAAGGATGTCTCTGAATTTCTTTCGGCAGATGAAGCCTTACTTGCTCTCATACCCTTCCCAATTAACTTACTGAATGCCATCGTACTGGCTGTGTTAGCCAGCATTTCCCCAGCCAAATCCACCCTCCCTACACAACTTTCTTTTGATCCTACAGAAGAAATGCATTTTGCATAGAAGCAAAACCCATGCTGCGCAATTGTGGATGCCAACAATAATCGCTCGTCACACCAGCTGTATACATCTGACTCCTCCAAGGGGATCATTGATAGTTCGAAAGAATCCTGCAGAAATTACCAATTGCCATTATGAAATAAAGATATAATACAAATAATGGTCTAATATCCAACCCAAAAAGTATTGACACTAACATTCATCAATGATTGGCATTTAGAAAACAACATGTCAGTTTCTGAGATCAAATTGCTCGTTCGATCAGCAAGCATGACAATCTGAGAGGCATTGGGTTGTTCGGATGCAATATACTGCCTAAGATCAATGCGGGAGCCACGAAGTTTGTCCCATGAATCTTGCACTAAATCTGTCACCGCTGAGGACTTTTGCCCCTGTATAAACTGCGAGCCCTTACTAAAATCCATGCGGCTACACTCATCCATCAACTGATAAGCTCTTGCAACAGTCTCCGCATGTTCCTTTTGATTCTCAAACTCCTTGTGAGAATACTCTGCAATTGTAGCACAGCCACTTCCCCACTTATCAGAGTTACCTTGTACGAATGTTTGTTTATTAAGATTGTTGGCTCCACCATGTAATTCATCGTCTAAAGATACTCTTTTCATGGCGTTGGCAAAATGGTCAGAAGACACTGTTTGAGAAGATAATTCTGGCATATTGTCAATTTCAGTTTCAGGAACAAAAGACGATTCTGGTACACATGATATATCAACTGAGTTGCAAGTCTCGCTTATGTGCACCTCATCTGCAAGTTCTGAACATTCATAAGGTCCATCTATATTAGCCGCTCCAAAAATGAGTAGCTCCTCAGACAATGGGTTAATACCAAGGACTTCATCGTTAGCGTTATCTGTAACTATAGGATATCCATTGGTCATAAACTCGTCTTCAGAATCAGACATTACAACAGCTTGCATATTCCGAACATGATGCCGACATGAGGAAAATGGGGTACCTAAATCGTTGGAAAACTCAGAAGCAGTATCAGTTTGAGCCGTATGGTGATAGCAGTCATGAACAGAGCCATTCCTGCTCAGCATTTCTACCTTCTTGGCCTCTAAACTTTCCATTCCATTACAAGGCATGTCCAAACTGTATTGCACTTCTATCTCGTGAAGATTTTCTTCAATTACGTCCATTGATCTTGGACTTTCTTCCATCACGTATAATGCCTTTGTTATCTCTTTCTCTACTACATCAGATAACTGAGAAGGTAAATCCCAGGGTAACATATTTGGCAGCATCAGATGGCCAGCCTCAACATCAAATAGCAGGGAACCATACCACTCTCGCATTTTGGTATCTGCAGAGACAAATCCAAGATTATTTTTTTCTCTACAGAATTCTCAAGGCATAAACTTTTATTGACAAAAAAATGAGGGTCGAATTGTGTGTATATGTATACCAATCTGTTGCAAAAGAAACTAGTGTCTAACTTATCATCTATATAAACATTACTCAAGAAGGAAATTTCTATTGGCTTGAATAAATTATCAAAGCAATTGACAAGAAAAAAAAATGATAAAAGCAACGCACATTCATTGTTACAATTCATCCTCAGGCAATCATTGTATACCTTACACATTTTAACATTACAACTAGTTTACTAAACATCTAAATAAATTAGAGGTGGTCAGCCTAAAACCGGTGCATCATAATTTCTCATAAATAATCCTTTTCTCGCTCACTGCTTAAAAGAAGATCCAAACTGTGAATAGGCCCACTCCTGTCTCACAGCCCATCTACCTAGCTAGGGACATCAGTTTCCTATCCTCAACACTAACTACACCAACACAATTTTAAACAAATCATCTTCAAACCTGACTAGTCCATAGACATCAATAACCTTTTATCAGAATAGAAACCCACCTCCACTAAAATGAAAAACGATTGTGTCATCCGCAAATTATAAATGAGACAGCACTCCCCTTGCCCACTACAAGGCTGTCAACAATGTTGCACTGTCTCTCACTACCAAATCTACTCAAAGCATGAAAGTAAGGTGGAGAAAAAAATGGGAAAGCAGGTTCCTCGGTCCAAGCCTCTAGTAGTTCGAAATCTCCCACATTACCTCCTATTAATTATTACTGAAAATTTAACTGTCCTTGATCCCCCAATAATGCACCATATTTATCTCCTTTGAGAACATGATCAAGGAAACCCCAATCATCATGGTTGTATGATTTTTCAAAGCCAATCAATCACTTCTTTTTTTTTCTTTTTTTTTTTCCAATAGAAAGCAAATCACGAATTTGTCAATACTTTGAAAAGAGGACACCGATGCTATCAGTAGGACTAGGGGTGAATCCTCTTTTTCCTCCATAAATAATTCTCTTGGTCTAACTCTGCAATTTAGATATCATCTGTAAAATAAACTCGAGTGAAGTACTAAACATGTGAATTCATATGCCTAGGCATGGGCAACGGTTATAGCGGGTGGGTAACCACGGTGATTTACCCATAACCGTTTATGTTCATACCCGCATAACCGTTTACCTGTTGGGTAATTGCATAAACGGTTATACCCATAACCATAACCGTTTATAAACGGTTATCCATACCCATAATCGTGTACCCATTTAACCATACCCGTGTACCCATTTAACCATAACCATTTACCCATTTAACCATAACCATTTACCCGTTTACTCGTTTTTGAACCCGTTTATCCTTTTTTTACCCATTTACCCCTTTTTTCACCCGTCTACATGTTTTTTTTAACTTGAAAATTGCAAAAGAAAAATTTTCCGAAACTAAACACTTTCAAACACATTCAATGACAAACTATCATCGACTAGTTATAACCGCAGGTAATACCTATATAACCATATAACCTAACAGTAAATGTTTTGATGTATTAAAAGCCATATAAAAAAAACTCACCGACTGAATTAAAAGCCCAACTAACAGTAAATATTTTTAATTTTTTTTTTTTTTTTTTTTTTTCGGTGTATGTGTGTGTGTGTGTCTGTGTTTTCAAAGTCCCTGAGTAATTGTAGGTTCTGTCACGGGTAAATTTGGAAAAAAAACATTTACACTATCAAGTCCCTTTTTTTTTTTAATTTTATTTTATTTCGAACACTAGCGATAATTTTTTTTTTTAATTTTTACATATATTAAGTTAAATGGGTAAATGGATACCTGTATAACCGTGGATAATACCCATAACCCATGGATACCCGTTATAACCGTGGATAATACCCATAACCGCCCATTTAAATTTCACAGATAAACAGTTATACCCATAACCGTTTATTTGTCTAAACGGTTACCCATAACCGTAACCGTGAATTTTAAATGGGCGGGTAACCGTGGTTACCCAAACCCATGGGTATTTTGCCCATCCCTACATATGCCCAGACATTGATTGGGATGAAACCTTCCCATTGCAGATTATGTGAAATACCACAGGTATTGTGACTTGATCAACAAAAGTTGCACAAAACCTTAACAGAATGTGGAAAATATAGATCTAACTACAACTAAATGTAAGCCTAACCTTTTCTAAATCTTCCACCCTGACACCAGAACTGAAGATGCATAAAGATCTTCCGAATATCTCCCCGGCAACACTCAATAAGCCGCTCAAGCAGCAAAGGTTGTATGTTGGCTCTCTCCAAAGCAGAAACCTGCATATTGACATCAAAATGAGTTTAGAAACATATAGATTTCAAGTGACCCCTAAGGGAAATTTGAATCAGAAAATGATGCACTAGAACATCATACCATATATGCAAGAGAATGCAGCTCCTTTTGTGATGGCAACATGAAACGCACTTGTAATCTGTCCAAACTGTCTGGCAGGACAGGATTGTCACCTAGAATTTAACACAATCATTATAAGGTTGTGCACATTTCAAAACACAAAAGTTCAAGAGTGCAACTATTTCAACCAGTAAACCTCTTACTATTGCTGGTCAGTATTATGGGCCCCTTGGCTGTTTTAGCTATCTGCTGAATTGCTGCAATGAAACCACGATCTTCAAGAAAAGTGATGTCCACATCGTCAAAAAGTATAAGATGTTTAACTTCGCTATAATCCTCCTTAGAGACGGATTTTACAGAGGCTTCAGTTGCCCCATGAGAATCTTCATCTGATACGGCTATCAATTCAATAACATCATCATCCATCTCATGGTCTGTCATACCATTTGCATCGACAAACGGGGATTTCACTATAGACTTGTTCTGTGAACCCTCAGGATTTGCCACTGATCTGAAGGAAATAGTATATTTGATAAACAAAGGAAGAAAAAAAAAATTAAATTTTTATGTTTAAATCAGCCACCAATAATGATAAAGGCCAAAACTCAAGGTGAGAAATTGCCAACAGCAGGCAGTCTCTTATTAAAAGAACAGCTTTTTGAGTCTCTGACAAAATATATTTAAAATAATTTTACATTCTAGCGAGACATAGAAGTGTCAAAAAGACAGAATTTAATTTATGAAATATGAAAGGCCCAACCACTGACAAGGCATTGTAAATGCATCAATCCAAATTCATCTGCGTTAAAATCATATCTTATAATATAACTTATGATCCCAAGGCAGTCTTTTTAACTATAAAGGTGATAACAATTCAGTTATCATCATCATCATCAGCACTCTCTATTTTTCTGTTGATAAGAAACAGACTTTTTCCAGATGAAGGGGAAAGAGTATAATGGTGATATACGTCATCATCACTTCCAGCTGTGAATTTCAAACATCTTAAAATTCCCCTCCAAGTGGAATTGCTATTTCACAAATCAAATTATCATGAAGTGATGCTTTGGTCAATATTCTAAACTCTAAAAATTCAGTTGTGGGGTGAAACTTAGTTAGGAGCGCATATGTAAGAATCTTTAAACAAAACCAAAAATTCCAAGTGACAAAAATGCCTTAGAGATCATTGGTCACCACCAAAGAGAACAAAGAAAGGAATTTGGCTACTCTTATATTACATACAGATACAGTAGATAAATATTAATTTCTGGGCATTAGTATCTTTGGAATTGGAATTTGGAAGCTCAACATTTCTATATAAGTCATCATGGACAACTAGAGAAGCATACACTTCTTATATCAATGACCTAATATAAGCAGCAACAAATATTCTATTTCTCTTACCAATTTGACTCAGAATCATTAAAACTTGAGGACAGCTGATGCTTCAGTATAAACGGTTGAGAATATCGCGTTTAAGAATGGGAAAAACAAATAACCAAGACAAATAACACTGAGAATTAACGTGGTTCGGCTGCATGTGCCTACGTCCACGGGCAGCAACAACGATCTTTCACTATATCAATAATGAGTACAACTAATAATCTTGCCAAGTCTCTAGAATTAAGACTTGACAAAAAAACCTGAAATAACAAGAACAAGAAATACACTCTCTTTTCTTTTCTCTCACACACTTTACAATATTCTCTCACTCTAATCCCTTGAGTGGTATACAATTTTTTGTTTTGCTCCCTAAATTCAAAACTAGTACAATAGCCCCTTTATATAGACATAATAAAGGTCTTCTTCAATAAGGATTGTTAATCCTAATTGGAATCTAGTTATGCATCTTTCTCCAATTGAGAAACTAACTCCAATTGGGTAAACAACTCCAATTAGGAAAACCACTCCAATTGGGAAAACCACTAAATCTTCCAAGTCTATAATTCCTAATAGACTTAGTACAACTCATCATGGGCTGGAAAACCCCAACATAAACTTCCTCCGGCATAAGAGACTTAGAAATCGAGGGAGTACATGCTTCAATTAAAGGCAATCATCCAGCTCAAGAACATGAAAACAAAAGCAAACTCAAATGTAAAGATAAACAGGCAAACCTTCTAAAATTGTGAGATTTCAAAGCCTCTCCAAACCTCTGTTTTACAAGAGCCCCACTCCGACATTCTGATGCACTGAGCTGGTAAGACAACATATCAGAAAATCAACTCTGATGTCAATACTATTAAAATCCAAAAGGGATAGTGAGAAATTACACAAAACACCAGTTTTAGTTTCTTGGATCAAGTTCCACATAATGATGAGGCTAACTCCATTGTTTGAACAGGAAGCTAAACCTTAACTTCACCATATACTGACCCAACCACAAGCATCTTTGTTAAATGTTCCAACAACCGAGCGCAATCACCTTGATGCGTTTCCTAAATTTAGAGATGCTTCGTTTATTATAAGGAAAGAGAAATGAGGTACACAGAAACCATTAAGGACGTCTTCATCTCTAAGTCCAAAATTCTGTCATAAGTTGACTTATCCAGTGATAGAATATTAACAGTTTGATGCGAATCTTACTCTTAATTCTGGATCTCAAGAACCATATTTTAGCATTGCATGGTCCATGGTCCAACATGAAAGTGATATCTAGGAGGTGATAAGAACCAATGAAGGCTTTAAATTTGTAAAAGGTGGTCAGCAGTTAGATGGACAGTGGCAGAATTTGCAATATCTTGTTGCTTTCCTTTTATTAGTACAATGGATATCACACTACAACTATTTTTTATTTTTCTATTTCTCTTTTAAACAGCATGATTATTTTACAAATTAAAACAAAAATTGGTCTAATCAATAGTTAAAAACACGTCATGTTATGAAAATGAATAATAGTTTGTTAATGGAGAACTGCAGTATGTTCACCACAAGCATATTTTAATCTCATTACCTCCAAAACCTTAAAACCTTGCTCTTGGGCACAAGCATAAATCGCTGCAGATTTTCCACTCTGCAAGATGAGAAAACTACACTTAGCGCCAAAAATGAACCAAAAGCATCATCATAGAATTTGTCTTTTTGTGTACGTAATGATTTTTGCAACGGTAGCAAACAGCCTCATGGAAAAAAATTATTAAATATTGAGGATAGAAACAAACTAGGATCAGAACTAAAGATGCTAGCCCCCAAAACAATAGTACTACAAGGATTGACAAATAAGATGGCATCCTCTTAGTCTTAAACACAAGTAAAGATAAGATTAATTAATTTAAGGCCCCGTAACGATTCGATATTCTCTGGCACAAAATTATGAAACAAGAATGAGGTGACAAAATTCAAGGAGATCAACTAGATAAAATAAATTTATATATACCCCAGTTGGCCCTGTAACTAAGAGAACATTATTCTTCTTCATGCTTGCCTCTTCATCTTCACCTTCTAAATCAGAGTCACTTTGAGAACACCTAGTGAGATCTTTGTTGGCTCGAAAATCTCTTTCATACCAAAGACGAAGCCACTCGCTCAAAAAATTCACAGATTCATGGTTACCACATACCTGCAGGATTATGCCATCAGAAGATCATAAGTTAGGAGTGATAAATTAGGAAATTGAAGGGGAAAGGGAATTTTATGTGCACTTAGGAAAAAAGTCTGACACAAGAAACTATAAAACGCACAACTTTGGTATCAATAAGATATGGATCCCTATCTTACATCAATAGCCTTCATTGGCCGGTACTTATATGTCCATAAGCTATTTGTGGGCTGATTACCACAACTGGAATAGTTTGACATCAACCTGCAAGTAATGAACCAATAGAGTGAACAATATCTCATCATATATTGGTAGGTTAGTTTAAACCGAGGGCAACACACAGGTTTGTAATTGATAAGAAACCATTATATAATTGTGTTACAATTTGACTTAAAAATTTGACCACAAAGTTCTTAGTTCACCATACAAATTCCCAGACAATGCACATAAAAAATCTTCAACCTTTCCTCGAGAATTTTCTGCTGCTCGATATCTGACTTCTTTATATAAGTGGTATGCTGAGAAAGCAAACCAACCTTAAGCATCTCATTATCCTGACAAAAGAAAGAGCAAATGGATTTGGAAAAGAGTTTCTTTAAAAATTATTCGGATAAGTGCTGAAATATGCACCTCTGCTTCCGTTGACTGCTGATAGTGCATCAACTGCTCATCGACTAAGAAGCCAGGGACTGTTGGTGATATATCATGAGCGAATTCTTGTTGAATACAATGCTGATCTAAGGATACCACATTCTGAAAAGTCGATAATTTGCAGGGTCGGAAAACAATGGGAAGCTTGTCAAAATTTAAGCACTCGACAGAGCCTTCAAAAATTGATGAGGACGCGCATTCCATGTCTGGACCACTTTTCATAAACGTGTCCTCACAAAATGTCCAGTTTCTCCAATCAAGGAACACAGCATCATCCTGAATAGTAGAATTTAAAATTCATCTTAGGCAAGAAAACTGGCCACAAACATTAAATTTCAAGAACAGCTAATGTGATAGCTACACAATATTGATATACATTCTGCACATTGCTAAACCAAAAGAACCACACCTGAGTCCTTTCAAACACATGAATCGGACCACTAGTGATCTCTTTATCCTTCCTCCCAACGTAGCTCAAATCGACATCAACTTCAGTTTCCTCTCGCTTTCTTTTTCCAGCTTTACAAATTGAGAAAAATGGATGTATTTGCTTTCCAGAAAACATTCCTGAAAATATCCGTGACGTTTCCTGATCAAGCATAAACAGAAGACACTTAGAACAACAAACCAAAGACCAAAGCTTCCACAAAAACGATGCTAAATAACCCAATTTCCAATCTAATAGTCCAACCAATACAACAGAGAAAAAAAAAAAAATCAAATTAAAGAATAAGTTTGGGTTATATACTGATATGGGTTGAGATGAATAGAGCAGAATGCAATACCAAAGAGCGTTATAGCAGAAACACCGGTACATATAAGACAACTCAATAAGAAAATAAGACGAAAAACAGATTTATTGACCTCAGCTTTCAATCTAGCCTCTAGCCTCAAATCAGTGACGACTCGAGGCGCATCTTCACTCTCCACTTCAGTTCCATTAATCTTCTTCTTCGGCGTACTATTCGTGGATCGCTTACCGTCCTAAATTCAAAAACAATAACAACAACAATTTAATTCAACAAAAAAAAAAAAAAAAAAAAACAGTAATTTCATATTCAATCAAGCCAATCACAAATGTACAATAAGAATTGAAACAAAGCTCATCAATTACCCAAAAAAATCCACAAAATTCACCTTCTTCGGGGCTTTAATGGGAGGCGTCTTCTTTCCCCTTGACTTCCTCTTCGTTTTACTTTGACTCCCACAGAAGTCCTCGTCGTCGCCGCAGTCGTCGTCACCAGCATTACCTCTCGCGGCCTTCAGATCGCCGTTTACCTCGAGCTGTTGCTGGGGTTTGAGAGGGAACAATGTGGTCTGGACCAGTTTCCGGCGAACTTGCCGTTTAGGCGTCGTCCGCGACTCGTTCTGAGCTGAATCGGCCATGGATTGGATTGGGAATTGGGAATTGGGGGATTTGGGATTGGGTGGTGGAATTGAAATAGGGGGTTTTGTAGGGATTTTAGGGATTTGGGGAGAAAGACTGGTAGAGTTTGAGTGTGTAACGGAAACGTGATCTTACAGAGAAAAAAAAGGGGTAAAAAAGAGAGGATAATTATGGGGGGAACGAGGACGTACTTCCCGCCTTTGCGGGAGGGAAATTCGTTTTGGCTTTTAGATATTTGATGTTTATGTTAATTCAAATTACGCATTAAATTGTTGCGGGCCTGATGATACGGATAATAGGAGAATCAAATTGCGTTGTAACTACAATTACGGTTCAAAAGAGTATTATAATTATTTTACAAATATTTTTTTATGATCCGAGTAGTCATGACATGTTGGTAGGTGTTACTTAAGATTTGTGAAATAAATAAATTTATTAATTAATTTTGCTACCACCTTTAGTTAACCTAAGAGGTCACATACCTATAATAGTATTAACGACATTACATGAATGATGATAAGATTTAATTCATTGTTAGGGGTGCTTATAAATACCACTAGGAGCATTCTTGGCGTCAAAACTCTAAGGGGTGCGGTTAGGGGTGCTTATAAATACCTAATGTTTTTTCTTTCTCATCTTTATATATAAAGCTAAGGGCCCAATGAACAGTGTTTTTTGGTGTCACAAGCTTCACACAAAAATAATTAGACAAAAATGCCCCTCAAACAAAAAACTTCAAAAGCAATCCAAAATAATGCATCAAATGTGGCAAGGGTATTTTTGTCATTTTAATAGTGGTTTTTTTAATAATTAATTTTTTTGTACAATTTTTTTTTTAAATAATAATTAGTACCTCACAATATGTTAACGATAATGTGATTCAATCAGATGTTCATTAAATATTATTTTCTCTATTTTTAAACACATTCAAAACATCTTAAGAGGCGTGTAATGCCGGTTATAAAAAAGGTACTTCGTGGATAATAATGTGATTAAATTAGTTGTCAAATGATATTTTTTTTTTTTGAACAAATGATATTATCTACATTAAGGCCATCTCCAACCGAAGGCTCGTTTTAGTCCTCTGACCCTCCGAGATATTAATATTTTAATGAACAGTACATGACCATATTTGCCTCCATCTCCAACTAAGGGCCAAAGGGCCATAGGACCAAACATAATTTATTATTTAAAAACTACAGCTTAAATTCAAATTCAAATTCAAATCCAACGGCTAAGTACTGTAAAAAACTACAACATAATTTATTATTTAAAAACAACAACTTAAATTAAATTCAAATTTTGTAAAATAGAAGTTATAGGAAGTTATAGAAAAAATAGAAGTTATAGGAAAAAAATTGTGTAAAAAAAATTAAAAAAATAAAACTGTAAAAAAAAAAATAATTCAAAAATAACGGCTAGCTTACATAGCCATTGCATTTGAAATTTGGCCTAGAATTCATGTCGTTCCTGTCGGTTATATCTGATAAGAATGCTAGAATTTCTGGCCAAGCCGGGGGCTGGCTGAATTGGGCCAGCCCTCTGGCCCTTTCAGATTTTGTGGGCCCACGAGCCCTCTGGCCTAGCCCTCTATTGGAAATGGTTTTCGGGCTATTTTCGGCCCTTTGGACCTCTAGACCCTTCGGTTGGAGATGACCTAAGGGGGAGGGGTGGGCTTAGCCTCACAATGGGCTAGCAATAATGTGATTCAATCAGTTGTTTATTAAAATATTATTTTCTCTATTCTTAATATAAATTTAATAGAGACTTATTTTATTATGTAGATTCAGCTGCTTTAATTGGTTTATAAGGGGTTCCTTTTAGCATGATCTAAGATTATTCATTTACTTCAAATATTTAAATTTCCTTTTGTCAAGTCACGCATATAAATACATTTAAAATGTGTAAGTCGCACGTAACAAGCCGTGATTAAAAAAATGCATTCTGCACGCGCGTGAGCACGTGCATGAAGGCTAGTATGTCCCTAATCTAGGCTTTGTCCCTCAAAGAAAAGAGAGAATAACTCTAGGCAAAATTCCCTGGTGTGATGTCCACAATTAATTCAAGTCAGTGATATTGCTAGCACTATTGAATCTCTCATTCCATTATGTCATTGGTGTATAAATGTGAATACTCCTAGTGGCTTAACATTCGGAGAGCTTTCTCTTGGTGAATCATGAAGAGAAAGAACACAAGCATAAGCCTACAAAGTGGTGGACACACAACTAAGGATTCACGTAAGTAATTCCTTAGTCTTATTTATTTGTTATATTATTGATTTACAACCAACCATGATATGTAATTAGGATTACATATTATTATTTATTTAATTCATCCGATGCGTATTTAATTATTATAATTAAATTAGTCTAAATTTTATGCCTCAAATTCCAACAGAAGAGTATTCAGAGAATGATAGAGCAGCAATATACACTATATACAACCATGTTTGTCTATTGAAGCATCTGAGCTTCCTTAATACTTTACTATTTTTAATAAACCAAGCTGAGTTGGTTAATTTTTTATGAGCAGAATGACTATGCAATCGACTATTGGAGTGAAATAAGAAAAATGATGTGTAACACAGAAAAATGTGAATACACAATTAGTGGCTTTTAGAGTACATATATGGTGCTGCAACGGACTATCTCGGATTGGACTATCTTTAAGGGCTAAGCTGGACTGGTTTAGACTAGACTAAGTTGGACTGACTTAGTGAAGCATTTGGTGTAGTGTCAGATTAAGAAGCAAAATAATTTTTTTTTAAAAAAAAAGGAAAAAACAACCGGTGATATATAAAAAAAATATCCATGTTATTTGCTTCAACTTCAAATTCAACCAACATCAAAATTTCAACCAAAATTTCCAGTTCCCAAATCCAACATCAAAGTTGTAAAAACTAATCAAATTTTCGACCAAAATTAACCAATATATACACTAAAATTACATAATTCAATCGAGTAAGCAAGTAACCATATTTTCATTTTTCTATATCAAAGCAGATCCAATTGATAGTCAAATATGATATACCCAACAAAAACTTCATCTGGGTTTCTAAGATAATCAGAAAAATCAACCATGGTATTAGGTTAATCCCAGAAACCAATTAAACTTGCAGATCTATGAGCTTGGAGTCAACGCATGGCCGCTAACGCATGACCTAAAGAAGCTCTCATGGTCGCCAACGCATTTGGTGTTAACAGAGGAAATGAATCCCACTCAATCCAAGCTCACTATGCTTGGAATCACATTCATCATCCAATTGGTTCATCAGATTCATCATCCAGAACCCACCATCGGCTCAGTGGCAAAGAAAATTAAAAATCCCCCAACAGAGCTATTCATAACAAAAATCATACCAAATTATAGAAATTGAAATTCACATAAACTGATATTAAAAATCATACCACAGTCAAATCATTCCTCTAACCTAAAAAAACATTGTGAAATTTGGAGGGACTCGTTAAGCCCGGCTAACGATGGTTTTAGTGAATGCGAGTCTTGGCTAATCCTATTAAAGCTAGTCCCATATGAAAACAAACACTGGAATACAATAATACTATGCTTGGATGAAGAAATTTAAGATTACTAAGGAATTTTAAAATGACGGAAATTGAAATGGCGGGATTTTATTTTCTAGAATTTGTGAATTTTCTTGTTTGGTTAACCCTAAGAGAACAATGGAATTAAATACCAAATTTGTTATTTTTAAACTCTCAATCATAGAAATTGGGAAATGACACCTATTTACATAGAATTTAAACTTGGGAATTAGAGGTCTCAAATTCTAAGTTTTTTTTTTCCACGCATAAATTCTAAATTTCTATGTTTATGAATCCAAACAAGAGAATTGATGCATGTCAATTTATAAATTCTGACTTTTATCCAAATTCCAAGTTTATTTCCCTCATCCAAACATAGTGTAAGGGCGCGTTTACTAATCCATAATCAGATTGAGAGCAACTGGATTGAGGAGGAATTGAAATGAGGTGGAATCTGAATCAGATTCCTGTTGAAGTTGTTTACTAAAATTGTCTGGAATTAGAGTAGCAATGATGCTGAGTCCATATAAGTTGTTTACTAATTCACCTGAATCGGAATAAAAATCAACATGATTACTAAAATACCCTTGTTCTATTTTGTTTTATTTCATCCGTATATTTATTTTTAATAACATTTTAATTTGTTTTATTTCAAGCCTTTATTCCAAAAAATTAAAATTGTATACAAATTTATTGAATTATCAATATTAAAATATTAAACAATTTAATAATGCTCTCATTCAAACCCAGCTGAATAGAAGTATAGAACACTTCTCCTTTCTTTGCAAGTCTACGTACCACTCCTCTCCTGACCCTCACCTCCACCTTCCCCATGCACCCTACCCCATAGCCACCACATTTTCCACCTGCGAAGTATTTCATGATTTCTGGGTTTGTTGAGTGATTGCTTCCACATATTTGTGGGTTTGGATTTGAATTGTTTATTTTTTTGGGTTTGGGTGGTTGATTTTGAATCCGATTTCCGAGATACGTTTTGGGTGGTTGATTTTGAATCTGATTTCCGAGATACGTGGCTGGGGTTCTTAAGCTGGTGGGATAGGAAGTGAAGCATGATCGCACGAGGAGGTGGCAACTGGAAGGTGAGGCGCAAACGCATGAAGGCAGATGCACAGGGATTGGTGGGTTGTTGGGTTGAGTGGCAGACTTGAAATTTTAGAAATAATGAGAGGGTCATAACAGGTGTAAAAAATACATTCCTATTTCCCTCACTCAGTCGGAATCCAAATACCTCACCTATCTAAGGAGTTTAATTCCTCCAATTTGGGGAGTTGGATTCCTGATTTCGTGTGGGTCCCATGATTCTTTTGATTCCCTCAGGTTTGGTAAATGCTTCAATACTTCGTAATCGGACTTTAATTCCTTATTTTGATTCCGATTCCAGGTACGTAAACACACCATAATATTTAATCTAGTCCAATCCAGTGAAAGTTGAGGAGGTCAAACAAACACCCCCATAGGGTTTTCTACATCAGAACTTAAATGACTCATGCATCCATATATTACAAGTCAATCAATTGAGATTAAAGAATGTTAGTGTAAGGATTTGGCTCTAATGTTGGAACTAAATTTGCGTACCATCGTGTGAGGAGGAGATGCACAAAATCGACTACTTGTAAAATAGAAAACAACCATGCAGTAACCTGGGGATTATTGGGGTGTCAGCCAA